GGGGGGGCGGACGGGGGTGTCCCCCCAATCCCTTACCTGGATCTGTTGCTGCAGGAGGTTGATTTTGTGCTGCTGCTGGATCAGCTGCTGCTGCTGCTTGGCGATCTGGGAGGGGGAGACAGCGGCATCGGTGTCAAGCAATGCCAAGCTGCCATCCCCTGTCAGCCCTGCCCTTAGCACCGCATGGGCCACGGGAGAGGGAAAATAGGTGTTCAAAGAGAGCACAGGCAGGAAGGACACGGGGCGGGTGAATTATTTTAAGGAGTGCAAATCCCATCTCCTTTGATCCTCGTCCTTATGGCACTAGGGAGCAAGATGGGGAATCTTCGGAGCCCTGGACACCAAAGCCGTGTCCCCACCACACTCAGGGCGACCCCACAGGGATGCCCAAGGGATCCCCCCGGGCCCACCTGCTCCTGCTGCTGCCGCGCCAGCTCCATCTGCTGCTGCTGCTTCTCGAAGAGCATCGCGGCCATGTTCTTCTGCTCCGAGTGGGCCGTCAGGAGCTGGTCCCGCAGCGTGGAGAGCTGGTTGATCATCACCAGCAACTGCAGCTCCTTCTCCGCCAGGCTCTCCTGCGTTCCTACAGGAAACCGAGCGGCTACGGGTGAGGGGATTGGGGAGCAAAGGCATCACCACCACCACTGAACCGTTTGGTTGGAAAAGACCTTTAAGATCATCGAGTCCAACCATAACCTAATTGTACCCATCAGGTGCTGGTGGGCAATGCACGGGGTGTAAAGATACCCACGGACTAAACCATCCCCTCTGTGCAATCCTTCATCAGGGATGCTCACCCCCCAAAAAAATCAAATTAGATTTTGATTTTAAAAGCCCAAATCTCTATTAAATGCATGCACTTGCACCTCACCCTCCTGCTGAGGTGGGAAAGGCTGTTTCCAGCCCCGGCACAGGGTGCAGGAGGGAGTGGGGGGACCTCACCCTTCACTTCCTTGGACTCGGCGGTGTTCCGCAGCCCGCGTTCAGGCCCCCCAGCCGCTCCTTCCAGTCGCTGGAGAGCAACTTCTCGATGGTTGGCATCACTGTCCACGCCGGCATGGAGAGAGATGGGACACTCAGGTGAGCACAGCCCAGGGCTCTGCACCACGGTACGGGGTGGCTCATCCCATCCTATAGTTTTGGGAAATACCGAGGGGCCCAAAAGGAGCAGAGGGTGGTCCCAGGAGGCCACTTGGGAACTTTCCTTACCCTCCTTCAGGTTTCTGTTGAAGTCCAGCTTCTCCTGGCCGCTGGCGGCCGGCTCGAAGGCAGAGCGCCTGGGCTCCAGCGCATCACCAGCGGGCGAGCGGGACTCCTGCGACACATATGGTGTTACTCAGCACCCGCGCCATGGGAGCGGGACGTCCCCAGCTCCTTGGGGCAGGAGATGCTGGACCTGGTGGGATGCTCAGAGCTGGCCCTGCTGGACCACGCGCTGCTGGGTGCGTTTTCCCCAGCCTGGCTTGAGAGCATCCCTGCTCTTCATGCTGCAATGACTGGTTTGCTGGAGGTTTTTGTCATTTATTTACACTGCCCAGCTCCTCTGAGCCCTGTCCCTGCCAGGAATGGGAGGGCTGAGGCTGCTGGTCATGGGGAGAGAAAACCCAGGAGCAATTAAAGGAGGAGGAGGACCAACAATATCCAAAAAACCTGGGGAAACCAC